CTACCAAGTTCTGCAGTAAAAGCAGTGCACGTTTAGGAAACCCAGATTAGAGATGTGCAGAACAGAAGTCCAACAGATTGACTGGGTTCTTTCTGACGCTACACTCGCTGCCAAAATTTCAATACCTAGTTCATAAAAGCAGCGTAAGCTTTTGTGCTCTTCCTGTTCGCAGGCCGGAAGAGTTCAGAAAAATCCGAGGGGGTCTATCCTACGCCTTCACTTGAGCCACAAAAAGCCCAAAGCCCCTCCATCCCAGGATCACAAAGCGAGGAGGCTGGCTGTTCGCCCATCAGCAGAAGGTTTTCTGGGCAGCAGTACCCGCGTCCGCCCTGGCAAACGCACCGGTCACTCACCTGTGAACATTTTCACAAAGTCGGCACTCGACATGCTCATAACCACGTCAGCCGTCACAGGAGGCTTTCCGAAACCAGCGCTCCCACCCTTGGTTTTCAGGTCAATATACCAAGTGCCTCCGTCATCACCTGAACAGACAGTGACAAGAGGTGACGAGGCAGCAAAGGCGCCCTCCCTACTCCTCCCCGTCAGGCGGCCGCTGCCGTGTCCGTTTGGAGCAGTCACACGACACTACGTACGCTGGCGGCGCTCTGCAAGAGGTTACCACTCGCCCCGCGTTCTGCGTGCAGGCAAGGCCAGCCTCTGGCAGAGGCCCCGCAGCACCACGCATCGGGGACGCGGGCAGAAGAGCCCAAAGGCAGCACGTTGCTGACAGAGCTGGTGCTTTCACCGTGACCCTGCGAGCGCCCCGTCTATCGATCGCCATGCTAACCCCGTGCCGTAGGGCCAGCGCTGTGACAAAGCCTGCCCGCATACGCCAGGAGCGGCAGCAGCCTCCTGCGCGTGCTGAAGTTGGTCCCGAGAAGGAGCAGCACACAGAACAAGCAGAACAAAAGGTGGTCTGTTTCGGGATCAGCCTGAAGAGGCGAGTGTTCCTCTTTGAAAACACCCGGGGCCTTTTGCCAGGAGTGTGAGCACGTGGAGGTTTTACACGGGATGGTCTTACCAGATAATTCAAACTGAAAGACACCCTGAGTCGCTCTCACATACTCTTCGCTCATTGCCCCCTGAATAACTCTGAATGTTTCTGCAACAGGACTCGGTGGCTTGGCTGGGGCAGATCCTGCGTTAACCTTCGCTCCACCTGGTCCTTCACGCTGGGATCCGCTTAACTTCTTCTCCTCTTTGAATGCTTGGGAAGCACCTACAAGAAAGGGATTATTTTTCTCTTTCAAACGCAAAACGCTTTAAACCTGCACGTAGAAACACGCGTAGAGAACTCCGTTTGAAAAGATTTAAGCTTCACGCTAGGGAAAACGAGTATTTTCCCATTTCAGTGTTAATACTGACAAAGGGTGGGTTTAGCACCTGGGAATCTGAGGAGGTGCAGAGCACCAAAGGTAATTTTGCAAAATATTTCTCTTCCTAATACGTCAAAAGAAAAGTGAAAATAAAACCACGGCAAAATTCTAATTCTGACTGTTCGCAGTTCGTTACAAATGCTTCCACAGCACATTGCTGTCTAATGCAATCCACACGCTCCTGACAGCACTCGCAAAACCCAAACCAGTGTCTTTAATAAACGCCGCTTTCACCTCAAAATACTTCTCCCTCTTCTCTGTCTCGCTAAGAACACGGATATTTTATTAAGCCTTCTGCAAAGGCTTCTAAGCTGTAAATGAATTCGCTGCTTTAATCGGCATTTTACCATACCGCGGTGAACACGTACATTTAACAGTGAGGGACAGCATTTGCAATATACAAGGCTGATCAAGTGGAACAGCCCCTGCAAACGTTGTCAAAGGTCTCTTAGGTGTCTTGAGGATCAAAACACAGTTAGGACTATCCTGTGAGTCCCTGCTAAATAACCTGTGCCGTGAGGCCCAGGGAACTAACACCATCCCTCCCTGGCAGAACAGTCCTCGTGCGATTGCTCAAACAGTATTTTCAGGGGAAAGGGACTGTTCAAACTTTGCCTCCTCTGCCCTTCTCTTATCCCTGTTTTGGCACTCCTATGACACCTGCTCAGCATTCTTAGTTGCCCTCCTACTTGA